ACTTTTTGATAAATAATTCGTTCTTATTGCAAAATAGGAGCACTATTTATCAATCTGTAATAAAAGACGTGAGGAAATTCTGTCTTTTTTAAAAAAAAAAATTTTTGAGGCGAAATACCCAAAAAGAAGTTTGTAAAAAATGAATCCGCCTCAACAATATAGAACTTATCTACTAACAGTTGTGTTGAAGTTTCGGCTTTTGGGGAGAAAAAACAGCCAATTTCCCTAGTGGTGCAATTTGGTGCTCTGGACGTAGTCCACTTTTTTCCGAGATATGCGCAAAAAGGTTGCGGAATGTACAGATTCTTGCATCTAAATATGTGATAGTCAAATTCGAAATTTCCATTAGTTCAATTTGACTGCAAAAAAATCCGAATTGAGCTTCGCGTTAATTGATCGCCCAAAAAAATGTTCCGAAAACAGTGAAACATCCAGCATTTGCATGATCAGGCCATTTAAGCGGGCCTGACTTGCTAATATTGCAAACATTCGCACTGATTTAACAATGTTTTACCACTTGGACCATTTCCTCCAATTTATTCGTTAGTCCTAATTCACCCTCCGAAGTTCCTAATGGAATAATGCGCGGCATTGTAACAACAACACTCGGTACCCGGTAAATCGTACCTACTAAACTTTTGGAAAATTACAATCTGAGCTAACGTTAAAAAACTTGGTGCTTTTGAACAAAACTATCGAATCAAATCTTTGCCATTTAGCAGATAGCCATGAGGGAATTAGACAAATGTTTGATTTATTCGCACTTTTCCAGTCTCTTAAATCACCCAGTATAGGAGGAATGTGCTCCAGCATCAAGCCCAGTTGACTGTTCGTCCTGCTAACAATAGAGCATTTGCGTCCCTTCATTCTGATAAAATTGCTCCAATTTAATGCTCATTCACATCTTCCAAAGCCTCTAGTCGGTTGTGACCTAGTGAAATGTTAACGTAAATGACGGTCTTTCTCTGAACCTGTTCATCAATTGGCGTCTCTAAGGGTAAGTTGTCCAGCGCAGGGTGAATTAATTTTCCCCTATGTCTGCCACCTGTTTCAGTTCGGCCCTCATTTCGCAAAAATGTGGAAAATCATCTTGTATATTCTGCTGCTCATTGGCTCAGTTTCAAACGTGAGTAACTAGTACTGTTTGGGCTTAAGGACTGAGTCAGAAAAGATCGCTACACACAAAAACCGGTCAACTTAAACAACCAAAATTCCCTTTACAAGAAGCTCTTCCATAGAACCTCTAAAGGATTTTGGCATATTAAACATCGAACTGTTCATAGGTTTTAGTAGAGAAAGTACATCAGAATTAGAAGTGCATGAATTAATAATAAAACACCGGAAAATTGCAAGAGGTTAAAGTTGTTAGAACGACCGTATCAAACGTTATTAAGCTGTTCAAGGCAAACCTTAAATTTTAACCCAAATTGTTCGGGTAGGAAAACTGGATTTACACGGCCACAAACAGTGAAGAAAGATGCCGAGAAATTGGGGAATAATCCTAGTTATGCAATGGAAACATGGGCAATAAAGCGTGTTGCAGTGGGAGCACCGCACAGCAAAACCAAGAAAGGCTTCAAGACTCATAAAGTTCAGACGACACCAGACAGAAAAGTAGCAAAAAACAGGCTCGAAAATTGAACTCTGATTGTTTCCACAAAACGATTGCTGTCTGATGGATGATGAAACGTACGATCTCTCCGATTTCTCCCAGCTTCAGGGTCAATAATGCATCGCAGATCGTGAGCGTGGAAGAGCCAATGAAGAGTTCAGAACTTAAAAAAAGTSAAAGTTTCCCTAGAAGTTTCTCATGTRGCAAGYCTTSTGTAGCTGTGAGGAGCGCAGCAAATCTCTTGCCACRAATGGAAYAATAAAYACAGAKATTTAYGTAAGAGAGTGTCTCCAAAAGAGAYTGCTGAAACAACATAAAGCCTCAACTTTCTTGGTTTTCTGTCACTACAGTAAAAGAGCTGTAGAATGGGGCCAAATGAATAAAGTCGTTTCGGTGCCAATCATCCACCAAAATTTTCSCGAGCYTCGCTCAATCGAGCAATATTAGGYCTTGRAAAGAAACGTGAAAAGAAGCTAAGACCCTGCCAGAATTGRAAGYAAAGTGSGATTCTGCAGYCAGAAAAATCAAYAAATMTCCCATGAAGTAGATGATGCAAAGGAAAAACGAAACATTTCCGTCAAAACAAATGATTTMATTTTTTTCTTTCATCARTTTTGTCAAGGGTTCGTAAGTTATTAAGGTTTTGGTGTGTAGCGATTTCTTCAGTCCATAGCTTAACAAMGTGAGGAGCAGAAAATTAAGAAAAAATGCTTCTCTCCAGGCACGCAATGTTGAAAAACGAAGCATTGACCTCATCGCAGCTCAAGCCGTGTTTCAAGAGCAGAAACTGCCCGGCGATATCGTTCCCAACTACTACAACTTGACTCTGGCTGTAGATCCGCAGAAGAGTAGCAGCTTTTGGGGCAATGTGATTATCAACGCCACTGTGGAACACAAGATCAGAACATTCCAACTTCACGCCCATCCGGATTTAATCATCGAAAGCCTGAATGTGGCCGAATTTCTGCCACCGCATTATGACCCTAGCGAGTATGTGAATGCTTCGCATCCCGTAATTTAATCAAGGGCGGATCCAGGGGGATTTTGGCATAATCTTGTGTCGAATATTCAAATTTCGCTTTCTGGGCCAAAACTATTCGAATCTCCTCACTCACGTTGTTACGACTGAATCGACTTTTCAATTCTCTATCCAACGATGCCAAAACGAATTCTGTGGCTCGAATGGTTCTTGAGAAAAT